TTCCCCCAGCCGCTACCACAGAGGGCATTTAGAAATACTGTAGGCATCACCCGCAGCAGCGTTAACTCCAACCTCAACACGGCGAGTCACGTCACCAACAGATGTTTGCACAAAGCCACCCGTTTAGTTGAAGGAAGCATTACAAAAATAGTGTTTAAAAAGAAGCATAAAAGAAGTTTTAGAGTGATGAAGTGTTCTCTATACTCTGTTCTGGCAATTCTTTCCAGACAAGGTAAAAAAAAAAAAAAAAGAGTAAGTGTTACTTGTTCCTCTCTTTTGGGGAAAGGGCATTTTAGAAGAGCGCTCCAAATGGCTAAAACAGTCACTGACACTCATTAAGGGAAAACAGCCTCTGCCTTCCCAAACATCCCAAACTCCCCCAAAGCAACTGCTGGCCTTCATTCCACTCACTGCCAAAGTGCGAATAATTCTAGGTTAGGTCACAAAATTCAAACTCAAAATCAGTGTTCTGAGTGACCACCATCAGCGACTCGATCTCTAGTGTCCTGTTGCTTCTATCTCACTGGCAAAGCCACAAAGCTTCTCAAAGCCTGAATTACAGCGAGGTGCAGGCAGAGCAGACCTCTTCCTCCCAGGGAAGGCTCATCTCTCCCCACATCCAGCACAGTGTCCTGTTTTTCCTCCCAGCTGAAGATAGGTCCCCCTTCCCCTGCCTGGCAGAGGTCCTGTCTGTGAGGAATGCGTAGTAAGAGCTATTTAAACGTCCTCTGTTTAGGCCTGTATGAAACAAGGGGACCAAGGCACTCCAGACTAACACCTCCCAACCCAAAGAACTGCCGCTTCAGCCAACCTCGCTGCTCCTGCAGCGGATTAGGATTGAAAGAAGTCAGAGGTGGAAACTTCTTGGCCACACAAGCAAGGAACAACTAGTTAAATACCGGCTGACCTCAACAACAACAACCACCAACCAACCAAACAAACAAAAAATCTCCAGAAGCCTTTGAGGAGTGAAGCCAAGGAAACTCATGAGGAGATTCAAAAGCTGGTAACAAGACTTTCTTTTCTCCCCTCAGAGAATCTGGCTCTCCTTTTAAAGAAAGGAGAAAGTCTTAGAATAAAGAAATGGATGTCCCAAGTCATTGAAAAGTACAACTCCTTTCAACAGCCCTTTTCAACAGCAGAAGTCCTACCACACAGAAGGGGATAAGGAGGAACATAAAACAGCTTTTGATGTAGGAACCAGCCTGTCTGGGTGTATCAAAGTTTCACAAGTTCTCCCCAAAGAACAACTCAATCAGTTTAGCAGCCATAGTCTAAGGCTACAGAATTTATCCCAGAGAACCTTTCCAGTAGCCAAAGCTCTCATCACATCCCATTAAACCACTGCAGACTCCTTTTAAAAGCATTCACCATCACCCCCTAAAGAGAAGCAAGACAGCAAAATATAAGCCCTTCAGCACCTGGGAAGGGAGGAGACAGCGTGACACCTGTACCCAGACAGCCGCCTGCACTGCTACTTCAGTAGCCACCGCCCCGGTGTCTTCCTCCAGTGTTTGTAATGCTACAAGAACAGCACCTGGCTCAGAGCTGGCCAACGCCACAGCAGGAGGTCAACCTCAGGGCCCAAATGCTACGCTGAAAACAAGCAGAAGTTCATCTCCAAGTAATGCTTTAATCCTGATTTGCCTGCTGCCTTCTCAGGTTATTTTAAGGAGACTTCTAGCTATTCAGAGCAGGAACCCTCATGGATGCTCTTGTTAGGAGTGAGAAAATACAGCATAAGGGAACCCTGCACTTCCCAGGGGGACCCGAAATGGACAGGCCAGGTATTTGGGGAGGTGCGAGCAGAGCTTGTACATGGAATGTGAGAGAGCTACAGCAGTATTTAGAGCAGTTCTGAGGCAGAAGCGTTTGGAGGAGGTCCAATTATGCCTAAGAGTTCGACCCTCCGGTTCTACATTTGTGCCTACCAGCTAGCTGTTTGGCCATACGAGGTCTGACTACTGGCCCCTCCTGTGCAGGGTACCCAAGAGCTGAGACCATGAGACCACCTGGAATAGCCGAGCGATACAAGGCAGGAAGAACATCCACCCAGTGGTCAGAGCAGACAGGATGCTTCATCACACAGCTGTCCCGGTCTATCAGTTCCATATTTCTTGGAGGAAAACTCTACCCTCTAGAAAGGATTGCAGCAGAGAGGGATACCGTTAGCCACAGGTATTAATTACAGATTGTTTTAAGTCTTCAGTTGCTCTTGCTGCACCACAGCAGCAACACCTGGCTGCACCAGTGTCACTCGAGCATCTTCCGAAGAGGCAGAGAGATTGCTTGGGATTGCCAATAAGAACATAGGTGCATGCATCCACCTGTCCTCCAGTTTCCCCACCCACCCTTGTGAGAATTACAGAAGCCTGTAAAGAACTGGCCTTCAGTGAAGGAAATAACACTAGTAAAAAAGCTGAAGGCTGACAACATCCCTCCTGCTAGGGCAATTCTAGGCCATCAGCAGCTTAAGCAGATCTTACAAAGACGACTGAGCTTTAACAAATCAATACCCATAAATACCGAAAACTGCAGTGTCAAACAGCTACGCAGAGGTGAGCAGCACAGCACAGCACAAAAAGGAAAAGCACGCTGGATTAGTGTTCACTCAAGATCTTCTGCACAACCCAAGCACCTGGGTGCTGGCAGTTTCTCCATCTGAGGATTACAGTTTCCGATCAGCTTTACACTGCTCACAGGTTAGCAGTTCTCTCTGTAGTTTGTCTTGTCGATGTTCACCTGAGCTTGCTCCACCGTATTTGAAATGCAGCAGTTTCCCTCTTAGGAGGACAAGTGTCCAACTCAGGACTGTGACTCCAACAGGACAACTACACAAAAAAGTGGATCAGGCCCAGCAGTCAGCTTATGACAAATGCTTGTATGCCCACTGGATTACACCAGAAAAGGACTCTTAATTGTAGGTTGGACCAGTACCATGTCTCTTCCTGACAAGAAGTACTATGAGACAGTATCAAGGTTACTGTGACCAGAGCTTACGCAGGGTAATATTATGCAAGCCACTGAGGCAGAAAACCCCAGTGCTGTGCCTGTATAAGCCCCTAAATACAGCTGTCTTCATTGCACACGACTAGATGCCCATTTCTTGTATTTCATAATCCTGATTGTACTGGATATGCTCTAGTTCAGAGCCAGGAAAGCAGCTTGAAGCCTCCCTGCAGCAACAAGCTCCTACTCTAAGGCTGTGCGTAATAAGGCTTGACTTCAAACTACACTTCACTCATTGATTAAAACCACCAGAGTCTTGCTTTCAAGGAGACCTTGTTGATAAGGCGATTCTGGATTCAGGCAGTTTCAGTGCACAAGCCGCCAGCTGTAATCGTGTCCTCCCATCTCAGCTTCCCAAGGTCTCTTTCTCAGGCAAAGGGGTCCAAACTGCCGGATATCAGATAACAATCACCAGAAACTGATGCAATCATCTTCTTTGCACACCCCAGGGATGGCCAAATGCAGACACGAGGGAGAAGAATCCAGAAGCTACTTGAATGGCAGGATGCGTGACTTCAGTAGGATACATTCTATTCACAGGAGGAAGATCCTTCTATACTCACCCACCAAAATCCACTGGACTCAGCCTGTCCCTTCGCCATCAGAAGTTACTCCATGTGCTACTTCCATGATACAGGAGTCCATCCCTTCAGGGATATACGGACAGATGGTTTCTTTCTCCCCAAACTTAAAGTCATTAAAAAAGATACAAAGAACTGCTTTTGGCAGCATAGAGGCATTTGTGATTTGAAAAAAATCTGGAGTGCAGGACCCAAGTAGATGGGGAAGTAATCAGTCCTCGAGCTAATAAATAGAGTAGAAGGAAGTCTTCAAGGTGGCCAGTAGCCCAAACACAAAACCTGAAGTCCTGCAGAGACCACTAGGAGCTTTAATGCACCACACTTCATAGGGGCATCTCCTGGGATTCGCTGCCATACAGTTTCTCTGACACCTTTTGTTAGGCTCACGGACTATTTGGAATCTTGAAGTTCCTTTGCCTTCTTCAAAATCAGGTGAACATCAGAGATAGGATAATCCTACGTCAAGGAAACAAAGTGATAGAAGTGACTACCTAGCATTTCTTGTACACATTGTTTCGCTTAAGCGGGGCAAACCTTGACAAGAGCGTTCTTGGCCTATTATAACACACAGCCACGTTCAGTTACTCCCCTAACAGCTAAGAGTTTCCTGTTTTGTAACTGATCAAGCCTCAATCTTCTTCAAGAAGTTTTTTTTTAATTTGTCCTCCAAGGGCACGGTAAGCTGGCCTGCTACAAAGGCTATCTTCATGCCAGAAAGCCTTATCAGAGCCAGTACCTTGCACAGCCCAAAGCAGGAACTGGCAGAATCAGAGATATCCCACTGTTGTTCAGTGCAGGTGTTTTCAACCCTTGGGCTCTCACAGATCTCAGAACTAAACAAAAGCCTCTGGCCAATAAATTTAACACTCTTACATAGTGTTTCACATCTTTGCTGGAAAATACTAAATTTTTTGCAAACCAAAATATGTTAATAAACCTCTAGTCTTTGACAATTTCTCTATAGGCTAGAATGGGTGCACAAGCAAAAGATTCGTACTTCCAGTAATGAGCACGCTGTAAGATCTCTTAAGATCTTTCTGCATGCAAACATCAGAACTCTTCTCTTCAGCCAGGCATACCCTCTCTCATACCATCACCCTCTCTCACAACACTATTTTAAGACTCTTCAAATTGCTCCCTATGCCCACTATATTTAATCCTTACCTGTAGCAGCCTCATGTTCAGAGTGAAGTCTCCTTCCAGCAACTGATCCCGGATTAGTCTGAAAGATGGAAATTATTCCAGCTACTTTTGACTCTTTGTAGAGGAACTTTAAAAACAGACTACACTGTGCTCTTACAGAGGCTTTTGAGAACACTTTTGCTACCATTGTAACAAGTGACTATAACCTATTCACCAGATGCCTTAACACGTGCCTACAGAAGACTCCTGGATCTGCGGATTTAGGTAAAGGAGGGAAAG